TGCGCAGGAAGAGCGCCAGGAGGTTCCTTGGGCTGCCACAGAGAGGAACAGAGAAGAGAGTGTCTTCCTGCAAAACACAGCCTCTCAGAGGGAACAGACCGACCAGGGTAGAAAATGCTCTTCGTTACCACAAGAAATGTTGAGAAGTTACAGAATTCTGCTTAGCTTTTAATCACGGTTTAAGAGCATCATTGCCTACCTCAAATTCAGACGGGCATATTTAGCTTGCCACAATACAACAGTAGAACTTGAAAGCTACTAAATAGCAAAAAAATATAACTGATTATGAATAATAGTAATTCTGAGCAAGAGCAGGCACCATATCACATGCTGTTAGGAAGTCTGATGGGAGCATGGCAATTCCTGTATCCATATCTGTAACACTAAATACTTTTTTAATTCCTAGTGTTGCAGCTTCCAGTGTGTAGGTAGGGAACAATCCTGAGCCTTTGGCCCTTGTTGGAGCAGGGTGGCCAGCAACGGGCCGTCCTTATAGGGTCTCTCTGGGCAGCCTGAAAACACAGCTCTGACAGATGTTATATTAAAACGGCTTTGAGGACCATACCCAACTGCTACGTTGGGTGGGTGTGAAGTGCCACATACGCTGTTGTCCGGTCTCCACAACCAGCGCTGGTTGGTGCAGTGGACAGAGCTAAAACCCCTCAGTACGCAGCGCTGGACTGACAGTAGAGCTGATCTTTAAAAATTAGAGCTCAGTTAAACTCCAAAGCAGGAGCAGGAAGAAGAAATGGTAACACAGAAATGGAAAGCCAAGTGCCCGGTGTGGGTGTCTGCTCTGGTAGTGGTTCGCTGCCGACCAAAGCCCATTGGAAAGGGGACCAGGCCTGGACGACATCTGTGTCCTCACCAAGGGAAAGCCCAGGGTGGTTGAGGCTGCTTCATATATTTTGGCATTGACCCGCTCCAGGAAGTGGAATGTATGTGTAGATAAACATGTAGGATGGCAAAAGAGGTGTTCACGGTGATTTGGGACTCTCCCAGCGCTGTCTCCCTGCCTGCTGCTGACGGCACTAAGGTACCATCTTCTCACCCCAGCCTTGCCCTGCTCACGCTGAAGCTCCTTCAAATCACTGTCTGGGAAGATTGTAGAATCATAGAATCATAGGTTGGAAAAGACCTCTAAGATCATCAAGTCCAACTGCCAACCCAACACCCCCATGCCTGCTAAACCATGTCCTGAAATGCTATATCTACACATTTTTTGGATACCTTCAGGGATGGTGACTCCACCACTGCCCTGGGCAGCCTGTTCCAATGCCTGACCACTCTTTCAGGAAAGAAATTTTTCCTAATATCCAATCTGAACCTCCCCTGACTCAACTTGAGGCCATTGCCTCTCGTCCTATTGGTTGAGAACCAACTTATAGAGGTTTTTGTCTAAACCCACATTTATTCAGCCTATGGTGAGTTGTTTGTCTCCCTTCAGCCTCATCTTCTCCAGGCTGAACAATCCCAGTCGCTAAAAAAACTCAGGATCAGCATCAGTCGTTGGCTTTTTAAGTGTGACAAATTTTGGAGTGAGCGTCGCGTGTCTCCTGCCCTTGGCTGATGGCACAGATGTCCTGCATGTCATTTCATGAATGAATCCCATGTGCCGTGGTTGTTAAAGCTCAAAAAAGCTAGGACACCTTCCTGTTCTCGGTAACGCCGTCCCCTTCCCGCCGCGGGGCCGTGCCTCTGCCGTGCTGCGCCCGCACACGGTGCCTGGAGCATCCCTTCCCGCCGTGCTGGACGCAGCAACGCCCGGGGCAAAGGGCAGAAAACACAAATATCACCACAAGCCCGGGGCTCATCTCCCTTAGCCCCCATGCTCGATACGGAGCACCAGGCACGCACTTTACGGCAGCTCATTGTGGCACCAAGCTGGGGCACGATCTGCAAACGTTCTGGGGATGCGGCAGCTCGTGTCGTGATGCCGACACCTCCGGGGGCAACCGGGTCTCGCTGTGGGGGCCAAAAAGATTGTGCTGGTCTGTCTGACCGGACAGAGCTACTGGAGAGAGTCCAGCGGAGGGCTACAAGGATGGTGAGGGGACTGGAGCATCTCTCCTACGAGGAGAGGCTGAGGGAGCTGGGCTTGTTCAGCCTGGAGAAGAGAAGGCTG